TTGTGAGAGGGCAAGAATCCATCCATTATCTTTTATCTGATTCTTCCTTTTATAATAATAATAGGGAAACATATAAAATTATGTATTTTTTATTTTAGTTCAAAAAAGCGTTCAATACAAAATTTATTTTAGGTTATACACTGAATAACCTGTTGGAATGCACCAACAATAAAGAAACAAATGAAAACCTACTGTACTCATTTAGAATTAAATAACATTTAACCACAATATTAGTTTTCTAGATCTGATTATATCTAATTTTTGATGTTTCTTTTTAGTCGTTATTTATCTTTCAGATGTAAAATTCATACTATCACTGGGACAAAAAGCCCCAAAACAACTAAAATGTAGAGGGAAATGATCACTAGTTGAAACTTTCTTAGGTCATTAATTTATGAAGAATATACTAGTGTATTAAAGCATGTGTTAAAGTTGTAAATAATAATGTGTATAAACAATAATTTTAGTGAAGGCATAAAATGTTTTCATCTTTTGTTTTGGATGATTCTTTTATTTAATTCTTAATTATAAAGAACTGCATGAAAATTAACAAACACATTCTGAACATGATTCAGTATTATGTGTGTGTTTTAATCTGTCTTTCATGTTACTTTTAACTACATTTAATTTTCTTTTAGTTTAGCATATTTAATTATGCTGTTTCGAGCTGGAGAAACAATATTTAATTTTCTTTAAAAGTACATTGCACTTATAAGAAATGACAAATAAAATTGTGTTTAAAGATTGATATAAAACATGATTGATGAATCTTTTCATCCACTCTATTCTTCAGTATGTTGGTGATAAAAAGTAAGAGAGTAGGTGTTGTCTGTTAAAATAAAATAAAAACATCTGGTTAAGACTGAGAAAATAATATCAGGATATTTCAAAAATATGAATTAAAATTTGTACCACTGCATCTGTAAAAAATATTCTTACATCCATAGTTATTACATTGATTGTTCTAAGTATTAGAAGTGTTCTAATATTTGATGTAATGTTCACTTTAAACAAAGTGTCAAACTATGATTATATCGTTTAAAATTGGCCGATGCTTAAAAAAAATTGACATGCAGTGCCTCCTTACTTTTATTCGTAGACGTGAACACGGAGGTCTTGAGGAATGCGAGATTTATTTCATTCAATAAATTCGCATGAAACCGACGAAAGAGGTGCTTTTCTTCTGAAAATTCTACACCGGAAGTTGCGCTAACAAATACTCGCTAAGCGGAAGTGTCGTCACGATACGTCCTCGTGTGTTTCAGGTTGGTTCTGCTTCAATAACACCGCTGACACTTTGTGAAATGTTTCAAGCTTTATTTAAATAAAACTTTAGGTTCGTTGTATGAAAAGACATGTGCGTGCGGTTAAAGTTTCATTCTCTTTAATGCATAATTAACTTTAGATCCTTGAAGCTAACGTTAGCCAGTTAGTTACTGTCGGTGTTATTTCTTCGCACGTGATAAGCGGTTCATTCTCATGTGTTAGTTCTGCAAATGTACACACTCGGAACTCATGCGATGTGTCATGCTGTTTCATATGTTTCTTAAAGTGGGCTGTCACGTTTGTTCCTGGACTGGACCATCAGCTGGTCCTGCAGCAGGATGCTCTCCCGTCATGATGGAGACGGTGCTGCACAGCAGACCTGTCACACAGTCGACCCTTCCGTCTCCTCCACCACCGAGACGGATTCTGCCATCATCACCGTCACCATTGGAGCAACTGTGCCCACTGGGTTTGAGCACACGGCTGCTGAGGAGATTAAAGAGAAGATTGGAGCTGATGCACGAATCAGCAAAGATCGTGGCCGAATATATTTTCCAGTCACTACTGACAAACTTTGTCAGGTGGGAATCTTTCTCCGCCTACACCATTCACATCAGATTTTGCTCTTTTAGCTACTTGTTCTGAGTGACTCAATGTTTTCTTACACAGTGCATGACGGATTTCACTAAATATACATCATAAAGTATTTGAATGTCCTTTATTTACTCTTGCAGGTCCACCTTTTGCGGTCTGTAGACAACCTGTTTGTAGTGGTGGATGAATATGATCATTACCAGTTTAAAGAATCAAAGGTAAGCCTGGTCCAGCTGTGTTGATGGCGCCTTGATGATGTCACTGTTTGTGTGCACATGTTGGAAGACAAGCTCCACTTAATAAACTTGGAGGACAGAGAGAACGCAAAGTGATTGCGAGTTATTCCAGGGACTGACTGAGTAGAGTTATCATCTACAAGCCGCTGTCGGAACAGAATTTCCTCTGATTTTGTGGGAGGTACATTTGCTTGTGCGCTCTCTTTACGAAACAATTGTTTCAGCTGTATGGATTTCTAAAAGAAAAATATTTAAATTGGTAGATTGTAATCAACTTTAGATGAGAGTACTGTTTATTATATTGTAAAAAAAAAAAAAAAATGGAGGAAGCGATACTCAATTTATTAATAGTGTGGTAATTACTCCTCATTACAACGCAAGTTTCCTGCACCCAACCAGAAATGTAATAATTGTACGCTTCGGGACTTTTGTGCAAGCTCTGGTTAAAACCAGATAGATCATGATAGTGATGTTAATTTGGATCATTTTGTCATTCTCACATGCACATCTTCATAGAGTCCAAGTAGTGACTAATTTCATTTTCTGCTTATATTGTTGCTTGTCAACTCGCATAGATGTCTTCAGATATTTTATCTTTTGTAGTGTATACGTAGCACCCCACTGCTCTGTCCGCATTTAACTGGGACAAGAACTTAAACTGACTGGTGGGGTAGCTGTTTGGGTTTGTTACTTTTCCGGTAGATACCACGCAGGTTTACCTGTGTTGAGTCAATACTTACTCCCCTAATTACCATATACACGTCTGTGATTGAACTTGAATAACTCCAGACACCCAGATAACAAAAAATAGTTAATTTTAATAAGAACGTGGAACTCTAAATGCTCAGCTCCAAATGAAGCTACACCATACAAAAAAAAAATGACCCAAAAACGTATCTATACTAAACTATGCCCTTAATTCCCAAAGTTAAATGTCTCCCCGACATAAAATAAAAAAAACAGTTAGGACACTTTTTGTTTCAGTCCCTTTTTTTAAATCCAGTATAACTTTGTTTTAGTTGCAGGCCTGTTAATGCTGGGGTGCGCTGCCGCCGGTGAAAAAAATCTCCTTCTCCCCGTTTAGACAATAGAAAAGACTCAGACCTGCTCGCTCAGCTGACGTCCTCTCCGTCACGGATGCTTTGCGAGTCCAACTTTTAACACACCTCCACCACACGGGTCGCTGAACAACTCCTCAGCCGCACTGGAGCACGTGTCGCCATGTTGACACGTTCATCTTGCCTTCTTGGATCAGCCGCAGTTTTCCTCAACTTAGCCGTGGTTCTCCTCCGTGCTCTTCACCTCCTTATTCTCCAACACATTCCTGCAGATGTCCTAATCGCAGTAACTTGTGCAGGAAAAACCCACAGAACAGTTCAGTTCTTTCTCCATCGTCTCTCGGTGCACCTGCTAGCTCCCGTCTCCATCCGTTTTGTTTTTATTTTGTCACTCCTCTCTCATTTTCTTTTCCCGCTCCATGATGAGTTCAATTGTCCCTCGTTATTTTAAGCCACTTTCATAACTAGGACATTCAGTTCAGTTTTTAGACTAATCCAATAATTAGTCAAACAAGAATACACTTAAACACCGAGGCTTTCTACTGTTCCCCTTTTCCTCCCGTTAATTACAAAAGTAATTACTTCCTGCTTGTATATAATCACTCGGATCATCCTTTTACTAAACCAATAATACAAGTCTCTCACTTATATTTTTTTATATACATAATACAAACACTGTTGTAAATATTTTGTGAATATTCAAAACTTTATAAGTGCCTGGTTTTTAACCAGGATTTTGTTTTTGAGTAAATAAATAATGCATACTAAGTTTGACTTGATTAACGCTGACTGGTTTGTGCAGGAGGAGACAATGATGGAGCTGCAACAGCTTGCCTCCAAACTTCCATGGAATAATGCTCTGAAAGTCTGGGAGCTGAACAGATCGATTAAAAAGAAGAAAGGCCACAGGAAAGGAGCGAACGCCATCAGAGCTAAACCCAACAGTGAGGTCAGCAACGTGGCTACAGACCAGCAAGCATTACCTCAGGAGGCATCTCCGGCTGAAGCGGACGCCAAGACAGAGAGCGCGCCTGACTCGGAGAGCTGCCAGCAGGACTTGGAGGAGGCTGCGCCCGAGGCGAAACTCATCAAGTTTCGTGTGACATGCAACAGGGCGGGGGACAAACACAGCTTCTCTTCTAATGAAGCAGCCAGAGACTTTGGTGGGGCTGTACAAGAATTCTTCCAGTGGAAAGCAGACATGACAAAATTTGACATAGAGGTAGGCAGCTTGTTCAAACTGGACTAAAGTGTATTAAATTCCAGCATCCAGGCCAAAAAAAAAAGAAGCTCAGCTTGTAAAGATAAACCTAAGAAGCGTGATGTAATCTTTTACTTATGGGGATAACAAAGCAAATCACTGCTGGAATATCAGGTTACATCTTCCTTTTAAATAAGCTGAAAACATGACGTGACACGTTGGTAAAGGTTGATGAAGGGGTGTATGTTTTTCAAGCTATCTTGATCATTTTTTCATCAAACCGCATGTTCTGTTGCAGGTTTTACTTAATATACATAATGAGGAGGTGGTGATTGGGATTGCACTCACCGAGGAGAGTCTTCACAGGAGAAACATCAGTCACTTTGGACCCACCACCCTGCGTTCCACGCTCTGCTATGGCATGCTCAGGTAACTTCAGATCCATGCAAACACCTTTAGTTTTGACCTTACATTGTTGAGTTCACATGATGTCTTTCTCACTCGGTTCAATCAACTGAAGCATGCTGAGCTGACATGTGATGGAGACTTTGACAAGAAGATAAGAAATTGTCTTTGATGATTGCTGTAAGCGAATACAGGCACAACCTATAAAGGACAAAAGGAAACTGCACATCACATGTTTGTGTTCAGTTTAGTTGGTGTTACAGAAGAGGCAAGTGACGATTGTGTTAACTCACTTTTTTCCAGTTCTGAGTCTATAATTAAAGAAAGTGGGTTAGTGTTTACACTTGTTTTTTGGTATGTTACAAAAATAATTGTTATAATTCTGTTCAACTTTTATTTATTTATACAGTACCAAGTCACAACAGAAGTCATCTCAGGGCACTGAACAGAAACATTTATGCACCGGTACATAAAAAGTAACTTGAATAGCAGACTGCTTTGAGTTTAACTTCATCACAGACTCTCTTCTTGAGCAAGCATGAAGGCAACAGTGGAAAGGAAAAACTCCCCCGTAGAGGAAGAAACCTCTAGCAGAACCAGGCTCAGGACAAGCGGCCATCTGCTTCGACCAGCTGGGTTTGAGAGGAACAGATACACAATAGCAGGTCGAGAATCACATGTTTAGATAGAAATCAGTGTTTCCCCTACCATTATGCAAGCCCCGTCAACAGAACTGAGTGCCCTGCCTACCGAACCGAACTCCCCCTCCACCCCCACGTTGGCACTGACGTAGCACTACGCTAGAAGCGTGCAATACAGGTGACCTTCCTAAAAAGCTATAGGCAGTGCTTATGCTGCCTCTTCCATCATGCTGAACCCCCCTCCCACTTGAAAACTGTCAGTACAAACAGTGCGCAGCTCAGATGTGTCTCTTCCCCCCCAGTCGACAAAAATCACAGATGAGATGAGTGCCCTGCCATGGCAAGTTATCAAGGGTAAACATGGTAAATAATATCAAATGAGAACTATTCATTTGTAACAATTCATTTTAAGAAATGAGGTCAGTTTGCCCTCTAGTAGTCTAAGCCTAGGGCAGCATAACAAGTCAAACCTAACTATAGGATTTATCAAAAAGGAAAGTCTTAAGCCCAGTCTTAAAACTGGACAATGTGTCGGCCTCACGGAAAAGAAACTGGAAGTTGGTTCCACAAGAGAGGAGCCTGATAACTGGAAGATCTTCCTCCCATTCTGCTTCTGAAAACTGTAGGAACCACAAGTAAACCTGCAGTCTGAGAGCGAAGTGCTCTGTTGGGAAAATATGGAACAATAAGATCTG